TGGACCAAATGTCATCCCAGGTGGTTACATCATGAGACCACTACTCACTGGGGTTGCTGCAGCCCCCAGACCCATGGAGGAATGCCCCAAGGGTAGGGTGCTGGGCACCTGCCCCAGGGCTCTGCCCCCTGCCCCCCCTCCCCAAGCTCCCCACTCCGGTCCTGAAAACCAGAGACATCGTAGACAATTTTCACATTGTAAGAAGGTTTTTTATTGTTGGTGGGTGGGAAGGGTGGTGGAGGAGCCCTGTTGGTTGGTGGGGGCTCTGTATGTTAAAGAGGGAGTGGGGAAGGGGCTCTGTTTGTTGCAGTGGGGGGGGAAGGAGATGGGTGTTGTTAGGGAAATAAAGCTTTTTTCTTTCGACCATGTGCATGTCCTGAAAATGGTGCTCGGGGTGAGTAGGTGGTACAGGTGTGTAGGTGGTGCGGCAGGCAGGCTGGAACTGGGAGTGCAGGAGGAGGGGGTTAGTCAGGGCTTCCCACAAGCGGTGCCCTGGCCTCCGCTGGTGGGTGCATGATTCTCCTGGGGCCTGGGCAGGGGGACCTGCTAGGGCTAGCTTGAGTGTGGGGTCATCGCTGACAGGGGCAGGGCTGGAGAAGTGGGGTGCTGGGCATCACTGCCAGGGGCAGGGGCAGGGGCAGGAGCTGCAGCAGCCATGGTGCATGGAGTCAGGGTGGGCAAGGAAGGAGCTGTCACATGCCACCCCTCTGCTGGGCACATGGCTCCTGGGCAGGAAAGGGTCTGGCTGGGGATCAGAGGGTGAGGCCATGTTTCCAAGATGGCTGCCAAGTTCTAGCAGCTGGCTCTGGCTCCAATACGGCTGCCAAACGCTGGTAGCCATATGACCAGAGGCTGGAGGTCCCCCTGGTGGTCATAGGGGCACATGGCAGGGCTGGAGGGACTTAGCACTAAATTTAATGCCAAGTCTCTGCATGTGTAGATACCTGCCAAAAATTACTTAATGCACATTAGCTTAATGCACAGTCAATTTAGTCACACTTAAATGAATGTGTAGATGCACCCAAAGTGTAGAAATACAGTAATATTTGGGATAAGTAAAATACCTTTTCCAAACCATGAGTTAAAATTAGAGACAGAACTGAATTGAAATACCTGATTCATCACCCAAACTTCAGTAAAGTTTGATGCTGATCAAAACCTAATCCTTTCCTGATAATACATCAAACAAGAACCTCACATCTAAATATGCCCATGCCCAAATTGTGGACTATCTCTACATAGAACAAGAAACACCAACATATATCCAATCTGCTGTTAGTTTGCTGCTGAGTTCTGTTTCAGAGTACCATAGTCTAGGTTTCAGAGAACCATATTTTTTCATGTACAACATACCTGTGCTAAAATATGCACCATATTTTTGAATGGCATAATGAAGAAAAAAAGATCTTTCTGTGTACTAACTGGGCAGGTCTACACATGAAATTAATGCAGAGAAGTCAACTCAAGTATAATATGCAAGGGAATTTATTTCTCCTGGATACCACATCTTCTCCTGCACCTAGGACCACAGCACATTGAGCTGGATTGGAGCAACCCTGGCTGGCAAGGAGCCTTGGTGGTTATCCTGCCAGCCCAGGATGCTCCAACCTGGCTCAGTATGCTGTGGAGGGGCTGGCTGGAGCATAAGGGTACTATAGTGTGGGGCTAGCTGGCAGGCAGCCCCCGCACTGAAGCACTCTCATGCCCCAGCCAGGTGGGTCAGCGTCTACACAGGCACAAAAAACTCCTCACCAAGGTACCACTTGTATTTACAAGTACTACCCTGCTACGGAGCTAATTAGTTTCCTACGGCCTAATATGGCCACATGTGCAGAAGTTGAGATTTTACCGTGGAGCTAATCAGCCAGCTCTGAAGTAAATACCTCATGTAGCTGCGCCCACTGGGTACGTCTACACACGTTGCTATGGCAACATGGTTACTCCGCCATGATTTAGTACTCCCTTTTAGGACTAAATCACGGTGCATTAACAGCCTGTACTGCGCCGTACTTGTGGCACACAGTTATTTTAACAGCTATACTGAGGGAGCATGTCACTACAGCAAAGTAGTTGCTGGTCACATATAGATGCCCACAGAAGCTACGTTACCATAGCAGCGTTGCTACAGCAATGTAGCATCATGTGTAGACACGCTCACTGAGTAGCAGCAGCTGAGGAGCTAAGCCTGTTCATTGTTCTGCTCCCTGTAACTTCTGTGCAAATTTTCCTTTCACTTTTGCTTGATGAAACTGCTCTTACCATATTTCTCACATATAATGTGTATGGCAATTTCCAGCAGCTGTTGTTTCTTTTTAAAGTACATGCTGTATGCAAGCAACTACAGTATTTATGAGTGTACAAAATGAAGATTTCTTATGTGATATAGCAAGAAGTTCAACTAACACAACTCGAGGGACCCTACTTGGAAACAAGAGATGAGCTCAGATTCATCTATGTACTTTGCTCCTCTTACTTGTTGCCCATTGTAAACATCAAGCATTTAACTGTAAGATAAAAATCAACAAAGCACAGCTTTTCCCTGTCATCTTTAGTGCAACAAAAACCAATTTGGACTATACTTTGACCCAAAACAAAATAGTTTTAATCTGTATATTTTTCAGATGTAGGAAAACACTCTAAAGTGCATCATTTACTGAATTCAGAACAAACCTATCTGAGACAAGGATGCGTGTATATTATTGAGATTTGGTATCAATCACTTTACTTTAAGTGAAAAGAGAAGCTATAGTATTTTTTGTTTAGTTCACTTCCTTACTTATCCCCCATATATCTAGCAAATGTTCATTACTCAAAAGAGTGCTAAAACAGGCAGTGTGTCAACTTGCCTAATTTGTGGTATAGAAAAATATCCTTTGAACAGAAATGTGTATACAACTTGTTCTAGCAATAAAACTTTAGGGTGTATCATGACCCTGAATGAAGTTCTGACTGTGAAACCTAGATTATTGTGAAGTGAGTTTGAATTGAATACATATTTGCTGGAATTATTTTAGTATGTAATAGTACATGTCTGATACAGAACAAAAACTACCACTCTGGCTTTAGTACACCATAGAAAATTAAGAAGCCCAGTTAATTCGTTATGGGTATTATTAGTAGTACAGGCAACCCTCGCTATTCACAGGGATACATTCTCATATCCCCTGCGAATAGCGAAATCTGTGAATAAGGCACTGAGTTGATGAATGCAGTGACCCCGGCGACTTGTGTGGGGGGGCCACGGCTCTGGCGGTGGCAGGAGCCCGGCGGCAGCAAGTGCAGAGCTCCCAAGGAGCTCCTGTAAGTGTACAAAGTGTATTTAAAATGCAGATTCAGCATTAACAAATATTTGAAACCATGAATGCTGAACCCATGAATAGCGAGGGTTTCCTGTATCAGTTTTTTAGTATCAGTAGTAATAGTTGATAATGTTAACAATTTGCTTGCATAGGGATGGCCAACCTATGTGACTTCTTGGGGCAGGGCTGCAAGTCAAGAGGGGAGAGGAGGACCAGGACAGGACAGGACAGGGCCTAGAGCTGAAGGTGCACATTGCAACTCACCAGGCCTGCTCACTGGGGTGTGAGAGCTCATCACCCCATTGTACCCTGCTCACCCACTTTTCTCCAAACTCAGCCTAGCCAGAAAGGCTGACCGGAAACAATACTATCCCACAGGCCAGAGCTGGTGGAGGGGGATGACAAGCCTGTGCTGTCCAGTTGAAGGAGGGCAAGGAGGACGGGAAAACTCCCATGCTGACTGGCCAGAGAAATGGGATGGGGAACATCCCCCTGCCACCTGGTTTAGGAAAGTGAGGGGAAGGGTGGAATAAGGAAACAGCCCCATGCTGCCTGGCCATAGGAACTGGGCACAGGACACAGAAGCAGCAGTACTGGAGTCTTTGCCACACTGGGACAGATAAGACTGACCACCCCTCTTCCCTCTCCCTGCTCTCCAGCACTTGGCACCTCCAACACACACACCTCAGGGTGCAAGGAGGTTTGGCTCAGGGTGCAAAGCTTGATAGTTATGCCTCTGCTAGGCCCAGTCCAGCCTGGGAGTCCAAGACCAGAACCTGTATGGCCCACAGTAAGCTCTAAATCCGGGGAGCCCAAAGTGAAACTGGCCTCATCACTGCCACTCAACAAGCTCTGCCTTCTGAGTGCCCCCACAAACAAAACAGGACCCCTTCATGCAGCTCCATGTGCCCTGATGCCACCCCACACTGAACCCTTTGTCCCGGGTGCCTTATGTCCAAACCCAGGATCCCAACATCGCTGCTCCACTAAGATTCCTCAGCCCCACCGAACCCCATCATGACACTAGGATTCCACAGAGTGGCACGACCCCAGAGGCAGCCCCTGGGGACACCTAATCCCACCGCCCCAAGGAACTGCCCAGACCCTGAAAGTGCCACTCAGCTGGGCCCTGAAGGTGCAACTGGGAACAACCCCATTAAGAGAGCTCCCGCTGAAGGAGTTGCCCAGTGACGACACAGCAGACTGCTCTAGGGAGCCCGAGTAACATCTTGTAGGCAGCCTCTGGCATACAGTGCCAAAGGGTGCAAGTCCCCTCTGTCAGTGTCATGGCCTGTGAAGGTACCACCCCTTGAGGACCCTCATAGGCCACCCCATGAAAATGTGCTATCCCCATTCATGGAGTCCCCAGCTAGTACAGAGCATATGATTAGGATCCTATTTAAATTGCAGTTTTGTGATTTTTGTGGAAACTGAAAAGCAGTGGTTTCTGTGACCACTGTAAAATACGCCATTTCCCACAATTTTGTGCTGAATCATCTGAAACAAGTTTATTAAGTTTACTGGAATACAAAGAAAGCATGGCAATCCCTGCAGCTATACAGCACATGGTTTGAGAGAGAACTACTGAGAGGATGAGCTCATAACAGTTTCAGTTAAGCCACCAGTCAGGAAAGTAAAAAGGTTTCAGCCCCATCTTTTAAGAAGCCAGATGCAATGCTGCAGCAATGCTCCAGTCTGAAGATGATGAATGAAAAGAAATTCAAGACAGCTAAATACATTTCAGCTCTGGATCATGTACAGCAGTTCCCTGTAGGAACCTTGCATGCAGATGGTGGTAAATTGTTTTGTTCATCATGCAATGTGACTCTGGGTGTGTCAAGGAAAAACAGCATTGATCAGCATTTAGCATCTGAATCACAAATAAAGCAAAAAGCTGCTGAAGAGGCTGAAGGTCAGAGCAAGAAACAAGTGACTATGTCCTTGATCTTTCAAAGAACCAGTGAAAGCAGTGTGACAAGAAGAGAGGCTACATTTGCACTAGTGGAGGCATTCATGGACACCAACACTCCTCCGGCGGAAATTGGTTACCCTAAATGAAAGCACTACTTGAACAAACACGTGGCAAATGCTAGCACTTTCCCGTGTCCAAACAAGCTTCACCAAGATTATCTACCAGGAGTAATTGCTTCACAAGTTCAGTGTACAAAATCTGCATTGGCAGAATATGAATCAATCTCAATTGTAGCAGATGAAGCAACAGATGCCCAAGATTATGTTCTGCACATTTTATTTGTACCTGGGAACTGGACAGACCACAACCCACCTGTTTTTCAAACAGAGCTGGTTCACCTTGCATCTGTCAATTTTTCTACCATGGCACAAGCTGTAGTGAAGGCTAGTGAAGTGTAAACTATGGCTTAGAATTTAACAAGATCTCAGCATTTCTGTCTGAAAATGTACTGTATATGTGCAAAGCTTTCTCTGACGTGCTCCATGGAATGATGCCTAACACAATTCATGTCACCTACACAGCCTTTCTTTAGTGAGACATCTAGTGCACACATTTTCCTGATGTAGATAACCTAGTTTCCTCTTTTAAAAAAGTATTTGGTTGCCAATCAAAGCAGGGATCTACATGTGACTGTGTCACTTCCACTGGAGTCAGTGCTTATAAGGTAGAATTTGTGGTTCAACACAGTTCATTACCATGCAAAGAATATGAAGTACTACCAGCAATTTGTGTGTGAGGAGCTTGAAATCACACCCGGCACATAGTGCACACTTAAACTACACAATCTCTACAGACAGGATGACATTGAAGATCAAGTTAAGTTTGTGGCTGAAAGTGTGATCCAGTTCACGGAGCTTATAACACTCTATAAATTGGTAGGCTTTGATCCACCAAGCTGATGGACTTGATAAGTTGGGTCAAAGACATGGCATCACAACTTCCAAACTGTAAGTGTGACAACCACTGGAGATAAGAACTGTTCTAGGCAATAGCTACGAAGTTGAATCAGTACTACAAGGAAAATCAGTCACTACCACCATGATTTAAACAATCAGTTGCCTCCTGTTTTAGTGCTGTTCACATTTTTTACCCCAATCAGATGCCTTTTCTGAGTTTTGACCCGCAACTACTGAAATCAATCCATGGATGGCAGAATAAGCATGACATGCTGCTTATGTGAACTTTGTCAGAGTGCCAGATGCCTTTGATTGTCACTGTGTTTTGGGAGTCTGTTTCTGATTGGTTTCCCCATTTCTACAACTTGGCAAAATGCTGCCTTACCATTCCAACAAATTCAGTGAATGCAGAACATGCAATCTCAGCGTATGGACAAGTGTTTGCACCACAGAGGCAGAGGATGTCAACTGCAACTGCCAGTGGATGCTACGTGCTAGGCTTTAACTACTACCATGAATTATTTCTATCAAGGTAAGCATTATTTAGTATTACTAAACATTTTGTAGAATGCTAATAATAAATTATGATGATATTAGTTACAATTCATATTATGTATAAATTTATATTCATAACACATTCTAATTTAGATTTAAATGTAATACTTAGATTTATAATAATGCAGTAATTTATTTGATATTTTTACAGATTTTGCTATTTAACTGCTATGTAATTATGCCTCTTGACCAATCAGTGGCAAGGGGCAAGGCTGCTGAGGCCCCTCAGCCAATCAGTGGTGAGGGGGGGCTCACTGTGAAAAGACTGCAAAATCGGCTCTTCATGCCATGAACCACCCACAAAATCCCTTTGTCTTGCCACAATTTAGGTAGGTCTCTATGTATGATGATGAAGGCAGCACCCAGTCAGGAGGACAGGACCCTGCTTGTTCTGTCCATTGGTAAGTGCAAGCCCTAAAACTGTCCCTGGGCACACAGCAAACCCATCACTGAAAGTACCTTTAGATGTGGCCTCACAAGGTGCCATAACTGAGGTTATCACAGAGTAAAGACACCTGTTACAGTGTGACCATAAAATTACAAAGCTGTCCCCACTGATAAGGGACATGGAACCACCTACCCCTGGGACTGCCTCACCAAAGATCCTGTGCATGACTTGTGCCCAGCAGTGTTTTTCCACGCCTCTTTAAAATATTTACAAGAAATGTTTTTTCTTTTTCTTTTGAATTCTTAGCCCAAGAGATGCAAAGCAATAAAACAGAAGACAGCCCACAGCAGGTGTACCATAGGCAGAAACTGTATGTAGCAAGCAAGCCCTAAGTGCTCAGTAAAGGGGATGCTAGATTGGTGACAGGGGGCTTAAGCCTCCAGCCAGGCTGACTGAAGAGGCAGCAGGATGCTTCTGCGAGAGGAGGTATTACTGCCAAGAGCCAGGTTAAGATTTCACTGACTGCTGCCAAATTAAGGGCTTTGGATCCTTGCTCACCATATAAAAATGCAGTAGTTACAAAGGCAAGGAAGGGTTAACCTGGCTGTTGGCAGTGATACCTCCTCACCCAGCAATGTAAACTATTCTGCATTGTGCTGCTAGAGACTTGAGCCTCCCTGCTTCAATTCTCCATTCCTTGGAGATCTCATAACAACAGCAGAGTCTCCCTTTGTCTGAAGAAGGGTACTTGTGCCTAAAAGATTGCTAAGAACTTTTTTCCAACGACTCAGTTGGTCTAATAAAAGATATCACATCTACCCAAGAAACCTTGCCTGCCTATGTCCTTGGACCAACACAGCTCCAACCAAACCCCCTGCCTCCAGGTTGCAAACACTATCAGGTATGCAGAGGGGAGCTGTGGGGTGGGGGTTTGAATCAGAGTGTGTCACTCAGGGATGGAGAGGGGAAACTTAACTTGTGGCACTACTGTGCTAGTAGATCTTTTGTCGGATCCGGGATGTTACCTGAGGGACTGCCTTAGAGCGGAGTCTCCTAGGTATTCAATACTGCCTTTGGAACATATCTTTGATAAGCAAATAATACCACTGAAAATTGTACATTTAATGGGACCACTCAATTGGTCTGGCAAAAAATATTCCACACTCAGTTGCAGGTGAGCCAATGCCAGCAAATATCATCCATGAATGAATCTTACTAGGTAGGACAGGGCACAAAAGATTATCCAAAGATTCTAAAGGTCATATAGGTAGTATTGTAAAAGACAGCTTGGGATCCACTCTACCAACAGGATTTGGGATGCTCTCATTAAGACTCAGGAAAGTTCAGCATAAGGTATTTAGTTTTGCACAGGATAAGACTCATGCCTACCAGTTTCATGTGCATTACAGTTTGTAAGCTTTGGTCACTACAGTCTCATATTTCCAAAAGATTTTAGAAGTTTTACGTTACCCTGTATTACCTTACTCAGCTTACTCTGTTTAGCACACTGGAATCCAGTAACATCACAGTGATGGAACTGTAGATGGTTCCATGGCAGTCCCATCACGCCTAGTATTTGCTTTAGTAACACAGGGGTTATAGAGTCTATAGTTCCAGGCTGGTCAGAGATTTTCTAGATTTTCTTTCCGAAGGAGAGTAGAAATAGTAAAGGCATAAGTGAAATTCCTTTTGCATCTCAGGTTTCCATGTCACCGATACCATATTCCATGAAAGCAGTCAATAATAAATGTTAACAATATGTTCTTATTAATTCTTACTGTTAGTATGCTACTTTGAGTGCTAGCTCAAAATAATTCATTAAATTCAGACATAGCTTTGCAGAATAATTACTTTATAGCTATAATAGGAAATAAAGATGCAATAAGCTTAATATAATTGATAAAGATACCAACAATGAGCTGTCCTTTTTAGTGTTATATAGTCATAAAAACATGTTTTGATTATATTTTTAATTATTTACTCTAAATTATGGTATCTTAAACAGTTTCCAAACTAGCCTGCTACTAGCATTCTCTACTAGTGATATTTTAATTCCATTTTCTCAGTGTTGTTTTCTTTAATAATGTGACAAATTTTGCTTCATCATCCCAACCGTCTCCACCAGCAGGTTATAAGCCTTTCCCACTGGCAAGCTAGCCTAGAGGCAAACATTTACTATAGCTCCCATTTTTGTTTTAATTTTTGATACACAAAGAAAGCTGATTTTTATTTTCTGTATGCCTGACAGGATTCTATGACTGTTGGTGAAGTTTTTGTGATTTTGGTTTACTCTCTCCCTGGTGAGTGCTGCTGCCACATTTTAACTTGAACTCTTGGTCACCTGATACATGACCTCTCACCCTGTGACCTCATTTCCAATAGGTCTTTAAGCTGGGGGATTCAAGACTGTGGCACAAAGACAGTTACTTAAGGAAGTGGGCCACTGTTTCAGTCAATGTCCTCTTATATCCCTGACACTTTTCACTAAAATATTTAACCTTCAACACTAGAGGAGATGACGTTACTTTTTATGGTTTGGAGAGTATGACCTTTTCTGTCATAGTGCTTTACTCACTTTCCACTCTGCATGAAAAAAGTATTGGTGTAGGTATTTCAACAAATAAAGGAAAATGATTTAGTGGTTAACTAAAACAAAGACTTTGGTGCAGATGCTTGAATAACATATTATGATTAAAAATAGCATTTTTTTAACCAAGTAGCTTTTACAAACGTAGTCCAAGTCATGTATACCAACAGCTCAGTAATATCTGAATGAATTTTTATATTTACTTTTTTTTAATACCTTACAATTAGACCCTTAAAATCATTAGAAATGTAATCCTATAATGTATTAAATCTATACAAAAAGTTATTCTATAACCTTTTAGTGATAAATCAAGAAGTTTTAAATATAGAATACAGGATGTCGGGTGTAGAATCATTGGTTTAATTATTGCTTAAACAAAATGCAAATATCTAGATTTCAACCATACCAGATGGAATTTGGTATTTTCAAACATTTAACAATATATTTCACATGTGCTGAAACATGTTTGCAGCAATCCCACTAGTAAAAGAGCAACAAATATGTACTGTCATGAGGAAGACCCTGATCTGGGAGCAGACAAGATGCTCCAGGCTGATGGAAGAATGAAACTGCAAAGGTAACATGCTTATACCATGGGGAAACTTCACTGCTCACTTCTGTAGCATCCCTGCAGAGTTAGAATATGGAGTTTCACTGTCT